AATGAAACCACAGCTTTTTACTTGTTACTCCATTTAAATTAATCAAATCCCATATCAGTCTACATAATTTGCCTTATGTGCAATTAATTCATAATTAGTAGAACATGAACTAATTATGAGTGCAGTACATTATATAGCCTGGTTTCCATCAAAACCGCTACATGCTATCGCCGACTAATTTGGCGACGCTGATTGGTCAGTTTATTTATTTATTCTTTCTTTCGACTGGATAGCATTTTTAGTAGCACAGTACTGCTTTTCCAAATGGTCCAGTTTTCTTAACAAAGTTAAGAATATAAACAGAAGTAAAATATTAAACAGAACAAAAAAGTATTGAAAATAAAAGAGAAATGAAAAAAGAAAAACCCAAATTATACATAGCATGAAAAACGACAAAAAGTTCAAATAGCAAATAAACTGGTGATAAAAATTCAATTGAAAGTAAATTAGCACAAAACACATTTTTCGTAAAAATGTATTTTTGTCGTGGGAGGGCGTATACTTGGCGATTTTGTAGAGGCGCTATATTTGTTTTGACCTCATTGCATTTTGATAACAACATCAATGGGTGACTGCCCCATTACACATTCTGAGTTAACTATATATTATTGAATAAAATGAATAAAATTTCCATCCAATCCGGTGTTTGCTTTCTTTGTTTCGTCTTGTACTCGCCTCTTGCAACATAAATGGTATTTTTGAAATTGACTATTGTCATATTAGTTGCATTTTTTTTTATTTCGTTTGGTAGATTATTCCAAAGTTTGGCTGATTGGTATTGAAAGGTTTTCCTTGAGTATTTTCCTAGTTTGGTACTACTAAGGTTTTACTGCTTTTACTTTGAGTGCATTTGGGATGGATATCATTAAACATAAACATTGCAGATAAATATGATGGTGCATAACTATGTAAACACTTAAATACAACTACAAGTAAATGTTCTCTCCATCTTTCATTTAGTGGTTTCTAATTTAATATATCTAGTATATTACTTATGGTAGTTTTTAGATCTTCAAAACTTCAATTTGAAGTGAATTTAAGTTTTGAGTACTAAAGTTCGACCAGACTGAACTGCAGTAATCAAGGAGTCTTGATTACTATAGCTACAGTGTAGTGTTAGCATGGAAACCAAGCTCTACAGTAACCATATACTGGCAGTTGTCATAAATGCCATTTAGGTTTCTACTATCCTCTTGTCAAAGACATGTGTTCCTTTTAATTCTATCATTGTCACACATTTTTAACAGATAAATAAATTTACTGTTACTTGTAACTTTCACTATTTGCTAACTGATAGATAAATGCATATGCAGCACAATAACTATCAGCATAATATGCCTTAAAAATGTACTCCTTATACTTTTATTGTGAGATATTTAAAGTAATGTGCATTTGTCAGTTAAAGTAGTTTATTCCATGAATTTGTCTCAAACATTGAGACTTATTTGGATTAAGAGACTCAAAGTTAAATTCACAATGTTTATCCACGGATACATTTTGAATCCTCCGCAGATAGCAGTTTAGTATAATCGTAATAAAATGACATGATGCTTTTTAGTAACCAGATTTTAGTAGAAGTATTATGGCATGAATACAGACATCTAAATCTGGTAACTAAATTGCAGTGAAAAGCTAAACAGCATAATGTAATATTAAAACAAAAACTACAAGTACAAATATCAGGTAAAATGTACTGGAAAACTTGGTTGAAATTTGTTGATAACTTGATTACATAGAGGTACTGAATTTTATTGGTTGAATGTAGTGGGTAACTGTATTAAAAACAATTCAATAGTAATTTATAATATTTTTCTTTTATGACTGAACCAAGAAGGAAGTTCATCTTGGAAATTTGATTTCGATCAGAACCAAATAAAATCTGTCATTAGTTTAGTAACTTGGTTTAAAGCTAGTAGATAGTTTGACAACTGATCAGTCAAATGTACTGAGTAACTTGGTTAAGGGTATTGTAGATCATGACTATATTAAAAAACATATTGTTAATTTGGTTAAAGATAATTTATTAACTTGGTTAAGGGTAGTTTAGTAACTTTGTTAAAAGTTTTAGGCAACTTTGTTAAGTAGCAGCAACAAATTTAGCTAAATATTTTTTTTCTCATTTATTTAATTTCACTTTCACCTTTTCAGTATAATTTTCACTGCAAAATTTTAATTATTATTTTTTTATTTCTAGTTTTTTATTATTTATTTAAATTAGATAAAACAAGTTGGGTCACATTGATTATGCATTTCTTTTCAAATGCCTGAAAGTTGGTTTAGGATTCATGTTTTTTTCATAATTTCATGACATTTTATAAAATACAATACTGTCTGTTTTTAAGGTTTTTAATGTCAATATATAAATACTACGATTGAAATTACACACTCATGTGTTGGGTTTCTTTCAATCATTTTGTGTCGCATTTTTTTAAAGTTGATCGACAACAATATGCCATATCCAGACGGGATTGTTCAAGCACTGCTGAGATTATGTATTCTAGAACCGAGTTCAATTTTTCAACGCAAATTCTTAATTACATCACATGCGGTCATCTGATTCTTCATTATATTGGTGAAAGTCATTTCAAGGAGTGATCAATTATTCTTTGCATTTAAGAAAATTTCCAAATAAGTATGGATTACTATACATCAAGGCTGCAATTGGTATTGATATATAAATTATCCATGTGAAATTTCAGCGGGTTTTATTTAGTGGAAATACTAAGCTTCTCTTTCTGCCAATATAAAGGATTTTTATAGTGGTATTTTCACACTTGATGTATGTCATATAGTACTAGTGTGCTTTCATTTATTCATGTTTGTTCTAAAAAGTAAATTATTATTATAAAATGTTTTTCTTTTATGTAAAAATTTATTGTCAGGAAAAAATATTTTCCAATACAGTACTATAAAACAAAATTTACATACTCCATTATTTCTAGTTCTTATTTTCATTAATTAAATCTCCCCTTATTAAATGTATACAATTACTTTATATGAATCAAAGTCAATCCATCTATGTAAATATGGAATTATTTTATAGAGTACTACAGTGTTACGTCACGATACAGCATGGTACTACTCTGTTGCTATCGTTGCAAAAAACGTTCAACCGGACGCCATTTTCTTTACTGACAAACCATTGATCCCAATTTCTAACGTAATTATTAAGATGTTGCATCTTACTTTTTCTTTGTAAATTTTAATTAATGATTAAATGTGTGTTCGATAACTAATATAATGTGGGCTTTTGTGTTTTTAGTACATTTTGATGGTAAAATATTAGATTTTAAAATGCCTATTCCAGAAAGCCTATGAAGTCATTCAGGCGTAATGATCGGTAACCAACGTCTGTTGACAACAGAGAGCGCCACCTGGCGTTGTGACGACACGACTGTGGTACTCTATTCTTTTATCATAAAGCTCTGTCCAGACTACCACTCCTTGACAAAAACATGAAATACCTAAATATGGTCATAATGACATCATCACTATATATCAGCATAAAACAGTTTTTGTCAAGGATTCGATTCCCACCAGAGACATCTTTTTTTATACACCTTTAATAAGGAACTTTTGTTGATGAATTATGTTTGGTATGGTTTCACCATGTTACTATATATTTGAGCACTGTATTATTGTCTATTTGATTTATAACTATAAATATACATAGTAAAGTATACAGGCCTCGTATAGATGGACAGTTCATTCTAAACAAATAGTAGTATTATTTGAGGCATGTCGTGGCAAAATGGCTAAGTTGTAGCAAAAATTGAAATTCAAGTTATTGGTATTTTCAGATACCTGAGTATGTGATCTTTAAAATTAGGGGTCATTTATTCAAATTGGACATTTCAAGCCTAAGTTATATTGGAAAGTGAATGTACAATACTCCTAGAGTAAAGATACACATGATTTTGATTAATTGCCTTTTAAAGTTATTTGTGCATATGTTATTGTTTAATAGAATGAACTATCAAAATAACGTTAAATAAACAATTTGTTGACCACTTCCAGAACTAATACTTTGGGAGATGATTATTAAGACATTAAACTGTTGATCTATATTGAAAAACAAATTTGGATTTTTAGGCAATTTTTTGAGCTCCCATATTTTATAGCTCATTTACTCAATACTGAACTGTTGCCACGACATGCCTCATTTGTGAGGAACTCAGAATATACAATTTGATGCTGTTTTAGGCAACTACTAAAACCAATTGAGTAGATACAGAATGAACATGTTTTTTTAAGCTTGTTTGGACTTTCATCAACATTAAGACAATGATGTCATTTGTTCCAGACATCAATATCAACTTTCTTATATCATAGCCGAACAGTCAATGACTTATAAAACCACGAGTGTGATTATAAATCTACACTTAAGCCTTGTTTGTCTGCAATTCTAATGGTGTCAATGTACTGCGAGATCCGAGATGAAGTTTTCACTCATGTTACACGGCAAGTGATGTTACTTCACCATATACATGACTGAATTCTCCCACTTAATACTTACAAGGATCAATAAAACTGATGATTTAAGTGTTATGTTGTTTTTCAGAACTACGTCAAAATGTAGGTAGTAAATGCCTCTGTGATTTGTAATAAAAATTGCAAGTTAACTTCAGAGTGTTAAGGTTTTGGCAGGCACGGTATTAGGATATCTTCACCGGACAACCAGGCAAGACCCTCAGCGTATGCTGTGATAGGCTGATTATTGTCATAGGTCTGGATTCATGGCACAATCAAAAATGAAAACAAATCAATATTAATTTCCTCTCTCAGACAGATATTGTCACTATAAAAAAGTTCATGTATAATCATTGTCATTATCACATTTTTTTGGGATGTTCTAAGGATCTTAGCTTATCGCAAGTTACGGGTTAGCGGGTATAAATTCAGAAGTCATCAACTTTAAGCCACATCCGGCAAAATTAATGACAACATATTCATGAGATATCTATTCTATCGCATGCAAAACACATTGAATTGATAGCATATTTTTAAAAAAACATTGCTTTTATTGCCAGTCTGAATGACATACAATTGATGGTGCACTCAGAGACGTCACAAAAACTCGACAGCACGACATCAAATTGATATCCCGAGTGACGTTGTTTATACGGCACGTCCAGATGACAAGCCACATGTCCACGTTGAAACAACATCCTTACATGTCGAACTGACACTCAATCAAGAAAATTTACGTGAAATGACTTCAATTAAATATCAAATGCATCAATGTCAACAGTTACTGTAGAATTAGCTTTCAAAACACAATGACATAAAGTATATGTGAAACAAATACATTTATTCTTGAACAGCCTAAGCTGAATATTCAACACATATGTATGAATAATCAAAATATTTATATGAATATTCAACAGATATAATAAGAATATTCAACAGATTCAAGTTTGTTAAAAAAATTTACCACACATAATCTGTGTACATATATGTATGGTGCCCTGCTTGCAATTCAATAAGTTTTTTTGTCTTCCATCTTAAATAAGTTGTACTACTCCAATTGTAAATCGGCAGAGTCTCCAAATTGTAAAACATTCATTTCTCACATCTAACACAGATTCACTTATTCAACTGTCATTAAACATCAATGATGGTTTGGAATGCCTTCGTAACTTTTGTTTTTTCCCAGCTAGCTAGGCTTAACTTCTCCTCAAGTGCTGGTTGGAATTCTGCCGCATGGGACACCACAGTCCAGTGAAACTATAACACGAATTATAGGCATATGGGACCAAATCTGATATAGCACAATGGATAATGCAGTGAACAGGTATTTGATTACCGTAATAAAATGTAGAAGAATTTGAATGAAAAAACAATCAACATCACCGGAAGTCTTTACAATGCAAAATTTCATTCCACGAAACCATGAATGCTTTGCGGCAATTCCAAGTGCAAGGCATATTAAGCATCTGTACTTTCAAGCAGGAAAGGAAACACACTGCTTGGTTCTTAAAAAATCTGGCAATAATCTTCAAACTGACAAACGTCTATTTATTTTCTTTATTCTGAGCAACTTTCTGCATCAATGAACGAATAGCACGTGCACGAAGTTCCAATTCTAAAATTTCAAGTTCGGAGGATGGTTTTAAGGTTGACGCTGATTGGTCAGTGGATGGTTTGGAGGTTGATGGTGATTGGTCAGAAATGTTAATTTTCAAATTACCTCCTTGGATATTTGTTAAATCAATACCAGTATCAACAATGTTTTCACTGGGTTCAGTCCCAGCTTCCCCCTCCTTGTCCCCCTCCTCAAAAAAGTTACCTGACACTTGTGTGTTCTTTTCATTGTCCATTACAATCTCGACTGGTGTTAAACCTGATGGGAAAATAAAGAAATTTTAAGTTTTCGATATTTTTAAAAATCTGTGTTAGTTCTGTAAGAAAAATAAATTATCTACTGTATTATTCCATAAAACTGCTATCAAATTAAATATAAAATTAATTCAATTATTACAGAAATTGAGAGGCAAGCACACAACATTCCAACTACACATTTAATCTGATTTATTATACATTCATAAAAAAGGAGTTATGCAACAGAATGTCAAGCTTGTTTGGTCATGTATCGGTCAAGTGTTAATAATAGCATTCATGTATCAACTCCAGTTGCATATTTTAGTAATTGATCTGGCAAAATCCATCAGATATTGCTAGACATTCCTCAAACAACTGCTAATAACTATCAAGTTTTGTACAACAGCTTGCACGTAACTAGAATAATGAGAAACATTCATAATGAAATAAAGTAAAATGACAAATATCTAGTTACTATCTGAGAAAATACCAAACTGATTAACACGTTCAATATACTCTTGTTGCAATCGAGGGCCCTGCTTTGTTTAATTAGTGTTGGCGTACCAAAGTGAGCTAGACGAAAAATACATATTTTGTTCCGTAATTGTAAAGATAGGAGTATAACCCATAATTCATAACTTTGTAGACAGTTGCAGAATCTTCAACAAGATGATAGAGGCAACTTAATGGAAGAAAAATTTGAAGCTTCATTGTACTAAATTGCATATGGGCACAGAGTGCAACCTTCTTTGCTCCCTGAGGAGTATACCTAGTCGTGCCCTAGCCTAGCCCGGCCTGCCTAGCCTAACGTGTACTCAGTCAAGTACAGTCAATGCCACAATATTCTACAAGGTACCCATTTAAATCCCTAGGTAGAGAAACTAATGTAGACAAAGTGCCTTGCCCAAGGACACAAGCAACTAGCACACCTGGAGTTTCGAACCCCCGACCTTAAGGTTGGGAGTCCAAGCTATGCCTGAGTAGTAAAGTAGGACTGTATGAGTCATGCACTCTACAGAAAGATGATATTAGAAGGTTGGATGCACTCAAAATATGGATGTGGAGAAGAATGGAAAAGGTGAGCTGGAAAGACAAAAATACAAACAAGGAGGTGTTGGTGAAGTGAGGAAACTGATAAATACCATAAGGAACAGACAGAAGCACTGGATTGGTCACATACTGAGGACTCCTGGACTAATGAAGAATAAAATTTAAAGCCTACCAAATGCAAGACAATGCAGATTTGCTTACTTAAATCCCCACCTAACCCGCCTGTAATTTCCCTTGAACATATCTCCTTAGATGTTGTTAATGAGGCGGAATATTCTTGGAGTCCTCCCAGCATAATCTTAAGTGGGAGACCACCTCCAGGAGATTGTTTTAAAGGAGAGTCGCAAGATTCATGATTCTGGTGTTCCTAAGGATTATTTATTCATAGTTTATACAACATATGTCCACCCATGTGTTTTTTGTATGTTTTTAATTGTATTTTTGTTCTCTATTCTTATCTTTTATGTATTGATGATTATTGATATTGTTATTGTTTATGGTTATAATAGCACCTTTGATGTTTAACTGTAAATTCGTACTCCAATTCAGCTCATTGGCCTGCTATTGTACAAATGGTATTTTTAAAGATGTATTGTCCCTTGCTAATGTCAAAAAATCATAAAAAAATAATTTTGAAATAAACTTGCTCATATTGCAATAGCATACAAATTAATAACTTGTGCATAAAAATTATTGAATTTAAAAAATGTGTACCCTGATTTTTAACCCAAAAAATTATAATAAAAATAATAAAAACACTTCCAGTGACTAGAAGTGTTTCTATCATTTTTTCGCTGTAAACTGATGGGTAGACATTTTTTAAATACACTAATTTCTATGTTCAAGTTGATAAAGTTAATGTTAAGGATAATATAAGGATGGCGAAAGAGGTCAAAGGGCAGGAGACAAATGGGTATGCTCCATTATCTAAAAGACAGACGTCCATGTGGAGATGAAACAGATGGCAAGGGATAGATAGATGGTGGAAATGGGAGCCGTGGACCTGCCCTAAGTGCAGACTACTACTGAACTTTGCATCATCTTTGAACAAACTATTTCCTTGTCATAATTATCTGTAATACTTAATATTTTGTGAATATTAATTTTTTTTTTCAAATGATAGACCTCTTGCAAAAATGTAATAATGTAATTTTCAAACATATACATAGATGTTTCCCATCGGATTTTGATCCATTTTGGTGCTTTCTGTAGGCAAGTCCTTATCAATTGCTTCTCATCAAAGAACTTGCAAAATTTGTTAACAATGGATTTTCTAACATTTGTTTGGTGCTTACCTTTTCGTTTCTAACTTTCATTTTTAAACATTAGAATTTTCTGAAAACTGTCAACTTGGTATTTCTAGTACCACTGTTTGAAATTTATCTTCTGATTTATGTTTGTTTCTGTTCTATGTCCTTTTAAAATTGTTCTCTTTAATTTGTGATTGTGGTTATTTTATGCATCCTTTTCAAGTTTTCAATAAAGTGTTTATATTGAAATTTACAATATCATACTGTATCATCATTGATATTTTACCATGAACTTAAATGACAAAATCTTACCATGTGAGAAATTTTCTATTTTATCAAACCAAGTAACTTGAAATATCTTTATCATGTTCAAAAGTGACAATATTCTACAATGAAATTAAATGACAATATGTATATAGATGACAATATCATACCATGTAAAATTACAATATCTAACCATGTACATAAATGACAATATCTTATGATGTACTTAAACAATATTTTAGCAGGTACTTAGACGACAATATCTTACCATATATTTCATGTCTCGTAGGCCTTACTTCACCCTCCTCACTTCCTTCTTCAAGTTCTTCACTAGTTACTGATTCTTTATCTTCCTCCATCTCTTCATTCTCATTTTCAGACTTCAATGAACATTCATCAAGATCATCTTCTGTAAAAAATTATCAATGAAAATTTAGCCTCACTGTTTTATTTTTCCAACAATCAATATATTTCATAAATAAAATACATTTACTTGTCATCAAGAGCCAATATGCCTCGGAATAGCGTGCTAGATAAATGGTGCATTATAAGTTCTATTTAATTATTATTATTTATTCCTTAAATAAGTAATTTGAAAATACACAAATCAATGCTGATGGTGTTTAGTCTATCAGTGTGATAAAAGAATTATATGAAATAAAAACACTGGTAGCACTTTTTAGACTAACTTCAATTATTTATTATACAATCTTTGTCCAGCATTCTATGGTGGCTTCATCAGGTGTAGTTATTTTATATTATACATCTACCAGACTAACACAACTCCACCATCTACTATTATAAGAATTATATGAGAATTATTAATGTTTCTTAAAAGTGGAACATCCTTTATTATTAACAGCACTGGCAACATTTTATACACACAATTTACCATTTCTACCCTCTGGATTAACTTGAGCACCATAAGAATGATCTGGAGTTGCAACGATGGCGTTGACCTCGTCTTGTGTACTACCAACACTCCTGTAGTCTCCCTCGCCTTGACTGTCGCATGTGGAATGCACCACAGTACTAGTGTCTGGACTCGTCCGGTCGTCCATCTGCTTATCTTCATCAACCATCATCTTGTTATCATCTGAAACTGATTCTTCAGTACCAGATGACGAGTCCATTTCTTCACCTGAACAACATGAAATGTTTAAAAGCTCATCATTACACTGCATCAAACTCAGTCACTCTGGAGTTTTAAGCTAGATAGACATCTATAGTATTTACAGAATGTTCACCTGCAAGAATGTGTCTAATCCTCTTCTTTGACATTCCCTCTAGCTGATGGCAACACTGAATCTTCAGTTCATCCATCCCAATATCCTGAAAGTGCAAATATCTCTTACAACAGAAACTAAATATGGTAGAGCGAGACAAAGGAAGACATGGTTTAACATCATCATTATGATGATGATAATTATGATGACAATGATGATGATGATGATAATGAAGATGATAATGACAATTATGATGATGAAAATGATGATGATAATGACAATGATGATGATGAAAATGATGATGATAATGACAATGATGACAATTATAATGATGATGATGGTGATGATGACAACACTAGCATTAACTACCTTAAGAATGTCAGGAAGGAGTGACTGAAGTTTATGTTCCTTGACAGACTTGAAGACATGTTCCAACATGAGCTCTCTGTTGTTGATGTAATCACCAATTGGTTTCAATTCTTTATCAATGTCCACATCAGAGTCTTCATTAGCTTCTCTGTCATCTTTAGGTTCCTTTGTACCCTTCTGAACAACAATTTATTAGTTTAGATTGTAGAAGTGCTTTGGCACAGCAGAAATGGTTTGGTTTCCCAAGCTAAAGTTTGAGGTTTCAATCCCCTGTGCATTTCACTTGTCCTTGGGACTTTATTTGCATTGCTTCTCTCCACCCAAGAGTGTAAGTGGGTACCTGGTAGGGTTAAATGCCAAAATGCGCTGATGTAGCTGCTGCAACATTATGGAATACTCCCCCAGGGAGCTGAGTTTGTGTTCCATAGGTTTTCAGTTCAATTTCTACTAAATTAATTTAATTAGAATTCAGTAACACTCACCATTAGATTAAATATCTCAAGCTACATGCGAGTTGTAGTTCCTAAGATGATACAAGAGCAGCATAAAGCTATGTTGTCATGAGGAATGATGTATCTTTTTCTCTACTATTTACATTTATAATAATTAATTATAAAATATTATAGTATAGCTCAAATTAAAAATATTATATTCATCTAAATTTAAAAAGATTATGACAAGACTTATTGCTTTATTCAGATGTACATTAATTCTATATTACTAAACAAATCTGTGCATACATTGGCATTTCTTCCTTTTACCCAGTGCACTCCTTCTCTCAATGCACTGGCATTGAGAGAAGGAAATTTTTTGATTGGTCGCCATTTGCAACATTTCACTTTAAGCTGGGAATCCATTTGTCCAGTTGCGTTTGCAGCTCTGTTTGCGGTGTGGTGCGTTATACTCAATATAACTGTTATAAAGAGTGATGCCATCAGTACGGTTGCATTGCATCTCCGTAACTGCATGGACAAATGGATCCTTAGCTTTAGAGTATCAAAGTGGCATGGATGTATGTAGAGTGCCACCTCTATAGAATTACCTGAAAAACTTACCTTATTAGCATTCTTCTTCTTCTTTCCTCCTTTCTTGACTTTACCTTCATTTTTTTTCCGCTTCTTCTGATTCTTTGTTACGGATGAATCTGTCTTACTTCTGCTGGAAAAAATTGGTCTTGAAGGAACAATTGCTGATGCAGACATTCTGAAAAAAAAGTCATGGAAAACTACATTTTCAGAGGTGCATTTGCTGCAATGTTTTTGATTACGTTTTTTTAATCATTACGTGATTTGACCTATGAGGTCAGCTTACCTTTCTCAACAACAATACACTGCCATAGCTACCCGCTATTTGTTTCTAAACATTACTTCAACTGCTACACTTTAAGGTCTGTAAATAAAAATAACAATATATTGTCATCTCAGTATGAACTATAACTGTAGTAGTAAGTTCTCACTCAATAAATTCTGTAGCGTAAATAAAATGTAAACAGAAGAGTAAAGGTAATGTAATTTAAACAATGATCAAAAATCCTCTTGTTTTGTTCTGTTGATGAAAATGGACAAACCATAAATCAACTAAAATGTATTTTTGTACTTTAGTGTTGTTTGTTGTATGTTTGCCTGCACAGCAAAGATCCGGTTTGACCAGTTATGTGAACTTTGATGAGGCAGTTACTGTCTCTATGTATAACTGTCAATCAAGTATGTAGGATAAGACATGCTTCAATAGATTGCGACAAGAGTACCTTCGCAATGAGCAAACCTTTCACTCTCTGATATATTATCAGAAGACTATTCATAAAGATATTTTGAAGAGGAAGCTATTGTTACGTTACAATACAATATATCTTAATTCATCTCACATGGAGCAATTCAATATAAGGATCTGAATTACAAGCTAAAAAGATTTTAAAACATTACAGCATAAAATACAATAAAATTCATTAAAATAATCAAAGGAATCTAGATTACAATGCTTAAAATGCATTACATCTCATCGTTAGACTACGATATGTAATATATGTATGTATTATTTTAGTGTCTAATAAATAAATTGTAAATGATTTATAAAGTTATTATTTAATTAAATTATAAACTGGTATTATTGTGCAAACTGTTGTTGATCAAGAGATTGCACAATAAACTGGTATTATTGTGCAATCTCTTGATCAACAACAGTGACATGTATAAATACCAAGTAAATTTCGCTTCCTTAAAATAAGAATACCAATTAGCCCACTTTCATGTAATCATATAATTCCGAATCTCCCTAATGATCTGTTAATTCGTTGTGTTCCTGTTCATTTTGATGTATTCAATCATACTATGTGTGGACACCTATCACCTATAAACTTTGACAGGAGACGTGTGGTTTGGGTTGCTGTGTGTTGCTAGCTAGTGAAGGCATCTACTGTACTTGCCAGATTGTATAGTAAGGCCTGCATGGGGAGAATGCTGTATCCTCCACACAAAAAAAAATGTCTAGGGCCTAGGCTTAGATTTTAGAAATCCGTCCGCACTTTTTTGAAATCAGGGTCAATTTCTGCGCATAAGTCACAGATTTTGCTGAAAGTTAGACTTTTTCACCAAATCCTATTATATAACCTATGCAATTATGCAGTAATTACAATTCTGTGCACCTATTTTTCTAGCGATTTTCTGCGTAAATTTCAGCGGATTTTTGAGACATCCTTCGCGCAATTATAAACTTTAGAGTATGGGTCCTGGCCTAGGCCTTAGGCTGGATAGTGGTAAGGCCACGGGAATGAAAGTTGTAGGTTTGCGTCCACCGCCCGCATGCCTAAAAAGCTACCGCACGAAAATTTTCATTATTTTGAAAAGTTCATTATTTTGAAAAAAAATATACTTCCGTTTTAAAAAACGGACTTTCTAAGCCGTAAGCAGACAGAAAAACGATCTATTCATCACTGATCACTCGTCGTGAACACCGAGCGAAGGCAGGCCTGGCCACATCGCACCATGATCACCGATCACTGCTGAGGTAATTTTCGGGTCAAATCGATCTTTATGACCAATAGGAAATCTCGTATGTTTAAAGAGGTCTTAAATGTAGAAAAGGATCTGTTTTATAGGCTAGTGTACATTTATGACTGTAAGCATTGTTTCTTGGGAATAAATGTAAAATTACCAATGCCACGGCTTGTGGACAGCATTTATAAAAAAAATAATGAATATTAATGAAAAATGAAAAAATGCCTCATGTGTTTTCAAAATTTTTCAGACGCAAACCTACAACTTTCATTCTCGTGGCCTAAAAAATTTGTCTATAATAATATATTATAGTTTAACTCGATCTAGGCCTAGTTAGGCCTATCAACATAATATGCTCTTTGCAATGTTTGAAGGATTTACATATTGAGTACGGGCTAGGTCTAGACAACTAGGTCTAGGCCTAGCTTTTATGGGTACGAGCCAGCAATAATTATGGGTACGAGTCTGCTAAAATTTGGGTACGAGTTGGGATGGGTACTAGTTAGCCTGTATTCTTATAAACTAACTAGGGACTAGGTAGGCCTAGGTCTACCTAGGCTAGGCCTAGGCCTATATAAGGTAGGCCTCTAGCCTAGTCCCTAGGCCTCTAGGCTAGCTCGCCTACCCTAGTACTAGGCCTAGTAGTAGCCTAGCTAGGCCTAGCCCTCTCATGAACAGGCTGTGCAAATACAGTAAAGTACATGAATATTCCAAGTTATACATTACCTGAATTTATTTTACAAAAAAAGTAGTGAACACAATGTTGTTTTTTTATAATGTACTAGGCCTAAGCCTAGGCCTATAAAGAAAAATACAAAATGGACTTGCTTGTGAAGGGAAAACAAAAGACGAAACAGAAACAGCGCCACCAATTTCAACTCTTCCAGGAATTACATTGTAAAAGAGATCGCAAGACTACGATGGCCCACAAGGGACACACTGCAAAGAAAAAGAAATGCTGCAAACAAAAAAGAAACGCTGCAAACAAAAAAGAAATCATGGAAACAGAAAAGAAACGCTGCAAACAAAAAAGAAATCATGGAAACAGAAAAGAAACGCTGCAAGCAAAAATGAAACGCTGCAAACAAAAATAGAAACGATGCAAACAAAAATAGAAACGATGCAAACAAAAATGGAAACGATGCAAACAAAAATAGAAAACACCAGCAAACAAAAAATGAAACGCTGCAAACAAAAAAGAAATGCTGCAAACATAAAAGAAACGCTGCAAAAAAAAAAAATAAATAAAAACACTAGCAAACAAATAAAGAAACGCTGCAAGCAAAAAATGAAAACACCAGCAAACAAACGAAAACGCTGCAAACAAGAAAGGAAATGCTGCAAACATCTCTTATACACATCTAGATGTGTATAAGAGACAGCTCTAATATCGATTAAATAAGCCTTTGAAAACCTTAAATTGTCAAAATTAAAAAACTGTCTAAACCTTTTAATCGTAGCTCGACCACACCCACTTTGCTTTCGTCGGGAAAACCTGACCCCTCGTCCGAGGCATCGGAACCCCCAGCAGGGGGTCTCGGCCCCCCTCCCCCGTCGGGTAAATCCTGGCGCCACCCCTGACGAACAGCCGACGCTCAAATCACTGTGGGCGTACCATACACGAAATATTATTTCGAGGGAAAACGGAAATAATATTTCGAGGGAACGAAATAGTATTTCGAGGGAACGAAATATTATTTCGAGGGAACTAAAGAATATTCGAGGGAACGAAATAATATTTCGGGGGGAACGAAATAATATTTCGGGGGGAACGAAATAATATTTCGGGGGGAAGAAATATTATTTCGAGGGAACCAAATAATATTTCGAGGGAACGAAATGCTTTCGTTCGCTCGAAATAATATTTGGAGGGAACGAAATAATATTTCGTTCCCTCGAAATAGTGTAGTATTTTTACTAACCATGTCCCTTTAGGGGCTCCGTAAATATCGATTTAAATATGCCTTTGAAACCCTTAAATTGTCTAAATTTAAAAACTGTCTAAATTTAAAAACTGTCTAAATTTAAACACTGTCTAAACCTTTTAATCGTAGCTCGACCACACCCACTTTCGTCGGGAAAATCTATCCCTCGTCGGAGGCATCGGAACCCCCAGCCGGGGACCTCGCCATCCCCCTCCCCCACCCCGTCAAGGAGAAAGAGCACAATTCGTCGGGGAGAAACAAAAATTCTATGTATTTTCTACATATTAGTAGACTCTAATATCGATTAAATAAGCCTTTGAAAAATATATAAACTGTCGAAACCTATTAATCGAAGCTCGACTACACCCACATTGCTTTCGTCTTGGGCATGGGGGTTGGGGGCGGGGAGTGTATCACACCGTGTCATAATTACTAACCGGGAAAATTATTATTACCTCCTCCCCCTCCCGACCCAAGACGCCTGTTACGCGCCTGTCAGTCAATGTAGAATAAAAGTGAAATAAAAATACAGCTGGCGCCCTTAATTTTTTTTAAAATATTATTATTTATTCCATGACTTACTTTTGTGAAATTAATGATTTGGAAAACAAACGTTTGAATTTTAGGTTAATTAAATGAAATATTTGGCGAGTTTTGCATTCCATACAAACGTACCACCTCTCCCCGGCCGGCCCCACACTTCTTCGATTCTGGATCATCAACCAAACTAGAGACAGCAGCATAGACTAGGCCTAGGCCTGGAAGTATACGGTTTCACTAGGCCTAGCCTAAATATTGAAAATTAAAAGGGTGTGTAAATGCGTGAAAACATGACATCAAGTGACGTTAAAGACATCTTGGATTTTGATGGAACTGGAGTGATGGGACAAAGTTCCGAAGTATCAATCAAAGACATTTTTGGATCTGATCAGAAAAAGGTAGGCCTAGCTAGGGCTAGAGAGACCCTGCAGTCCACAGCACAACAACGACCGCCTATCCTATCGCTTGTCCCTCTAACCTAGCATAGGATAGGCTAGGCCTAGGCCTACATACAAACATCATTTCTGATTTTTAAGGCATTGGCCTAGGCCGACAGGAGGGTAAAGGTAATTAGCTTATGATATTATTGTATTGTACAATGTAATTTTTTTTTCATGTTTTTTTTTTTTTTGGGCCGTTATCCTGGTTATACCTATATTCGTTATTCTAGCCTACTAGGCCTCCCCCCCCCCCCGTGTCAAGGGGCTAGCTACGCCACTGGGAATGGTGCAGAATAAATTGAACGATCGATTGATTGATTGGTTGGTTGATGGTATGTTTGACGATTACATTGTTTGATTAATCATGATGATATGGTTATTGTTCACAGAAACCAAAGAAAACAACAGAACCAGTTTTCAAACGACCCGAGGGCATGCACAGAGAGCTGTATGCACTGCTGTATTCAGATAAAAAGTAAGAAATTTGGTTTGTTTTATTTCATATACTTTTATAAAAATAATTTTTCTAACACCATATTTTAACAATGAGTGACCAATTAGTAGAGTATTATTAGGAGCCTCGGTGATGCTTAGTGAATGAAGCTGCCCTAGTCATCATCGTGATATTCCATTTGGAGAGTTACAGCTTTAATAATTGTTTATGCAAATTTTGTTTGGCAGTGACCCACCACCTCTGATTCCAAGTGATAGCAACACAGGCTACAAACAAGTTAAAGCTAAACTTGGCATTAAGAAGGTGCGACCTTGGAAGTTTATGCCGTTTACAAACCCTGCTAGGAAAGTGAGTAGCTATAATATAAGTTGTATCTTTATTATTTAATTTATGATTATCAGTAAGGTTTGTATAACACATGCTTGTATTTGACATCTACCTCAAAGGTACCATCAATTGGTGTACTATTTTATGTATGGTTTTTGTTGTACCAATTCACCAAGAATTTACATTATTTGATTATAATATTATTATGTAAAACTTGTATTAGTGCACCTATCCATTTCAAAGAAATGCTAAGGACACTTGAGAAAAAGAGGATAAAACATCATATATCAAAGGAATAATATTCCCTCCATATATCTATTATATATGCAGATAATTTTTATTCATGTATTCAATGTTATTTTGCATTACTTAATAGTATGTTGCAGTGATAGAGTTATTAATAAATTTTGAAATAATTTCGTTGCAGTGGTTACACACTTACACTGATTTTGAAGTCTGTTCAATTAATAATTTAATCATTTCATAATCTATTATTATTATTTTTATTACTATTATGTTACTAAAACCTATCTTAAGGGGAACTTAGACAATGGAGAAATTAGAGAACAATTAAAATAACAACGTTAAGTGGAAAATAACACAAGATATTCCCCTTAATCCGAGTTAGTGCTAGCTATTATTATTATTATTATTATTATTATTATTATTATTATTATTATTATTATTATTATTATTATTATTATTATCTATATATTATTTATATATTAATTCTGCTGGTTCCTCTGCATAACTTCACCTATCTCCTCTGAAACCGCTGGCAGGAATGTGCTCATCTTCCATACACTGGGATTCTATATGTCACGAATAGGATAGACTACTTTTCGACACTGGATATTGGACAACAAGGAAAAAAAACAGCAAAAAACCACTGAAAATCACGTACCTGTTTCACCGTGTTTCGCGAGTCACCTACGTCACATAACTAAATCCCCTCTCTTAATATGTACTGCTCAGATTTAAAAATTATCGAGTCAGGTCGTAAAAAAAAATATGCTTTTTCTCTGAAACACAATTTGCGACGAGTGACTGGTTTGGCTTGTCTTTGCCACATATTATGGTATGTGCTGCTCACTTATCCATTCTAAAACTGTTGTGTGTGTCCCACCCCCACTTCCTGTTAGAAAAATTCTGGATATGCCCTTCATCAAACTGGACAATAATTCCTCACAAGGTCTATCCAGCAAAGACACTCATCTACAAAGACATTATCTACAAAGACATCCTTTAGAAAAATAATAACATGCTAACCACTACATCCACAACGATTATCTCCTTGATTTCACATAACATTCAACAGTATACATCGCCACCTTTCCCAACTCGTTCAACACCGTGCAGAGCACGGGTACAGTATATGCTAGTTATTATTATTGCTGCTGCTGCTGCTGATAATCTTTCAACTGTTTTTTTTTTTGATATATTATTATAATGATCATTATTGTCATGATTATTTTAATGTCTATTTTGTATATTCACCATAAATAATAAAATGTTGTCATGTTGTTTTGTAGGATGGTTTTATATTTAATCACTGGAGGAGAGTGGCAGATGAGGGAAAAGATTATCAGTTTGCCCGATTCAATAAGGTAGGCCTAGGCCTATGCCTCTTCTGTTCCGTCATCCTTCATTCTTCTGTTTTAAAGTATTCATTGCAAATTGTGATAATTACTTTGATACTAATCCCACTAATACAATCATTGTATGCTATTCATGTGCTATGCCAGGTAATATAATTGTTCAAAGAATTTCTTCTGGTTTTCTTGATGTAATATAAATGTCCTTAATACTGTATAGTATAATTTTTTATAACTTATTATTACCATGGTAATAATTATATGGATGTTAATGATGATAATGTTGGTGATAATAAAGATAAGGATGATGACATTAATGATAAGGATGAAGAAGATAATAAAAAGGATGATGTGTTCTTTAATATAGCGCCCTGTAATAATCTCTCAGAGCGCTATTACATATAAAATGTACAGTAATAAAAAAAAAAGACTAATTAAATAGTAAAAAGTATCAAGATGCTTTTTTAGACGGTCCTTTAACAGTCAAGCATGTTGCCTCCTTAATAATTAATGATGATTATAATGAGGGTGAAGATGATAATGTTGATAGATATGATGGTAATTATGATAAAAGATGATGCTGAAGATGATGATGATAAATATAATGATTATAATATAATATAGATAGATATGAACAAAGAAACATTTTTCCTCAGCATAATAATGTTTGTTCTTGTTATAGCAAGTACAGGTGCCCATGTACTCAGACCAGGAGTACCACCTGCACCTCCATGATGAGAAGTGGACCAAGCTGGCAACAGACCATCTATTTGACTTGTGTGGACGATTTGATTTTCGCTGGTTTGTGATTCATGATCGCTTTGATTCTCATTCTCATAGTGTAAGTATCTTCCGGTCTCAAGAGTAAATATTTTATAAAGAATATAAAATAACAAATATTACGTACACACTCATGGTAGATAGGTTGATACCTTTTTCAATAAATTAATTGTGAAAATGGAAATAAATTTTCATTGAATTGAATTATTATTATCAATTATTATTATTATTATTATTATTATTATTGTTATTGTTATTACTGTTGTTGTTATTATTATTATTAATTGTGCTTGTATGCGCACACTTCTAGAGCCTCTATGCGCTTTCCAGAAAATTAGAAAAAAATGAATGGCAGAGCAATAAAAAGGCATTCAAAGTCAAAAAGAAAAAAAATATGGAAAAAGAAGAAAACTAATAAAAATGTCGATGAAAGAATTGAAAAGCTTAAATCTTAACTGGTTGTTCATTCCTGTACACAAGCACAGGAAATGTCACAAGCGTTAAAAGAATGTACAGATTTTACAAAATAATATCAAATTTTTAAAATTTGCACCATGGTATACCTTTAGAAATTCACAACTTAAAATATATATTATACTAATAATACTGGGCAGATAATAATCTATGAAGGTTTCCATTTTATTTCTGATTGCTATCTAAACATTAAATTTGTTTCTTTTTTTAGAAAAGAAGTATTGAGGACATGAAAGAGCGCTATTATAACATAGTTAATAAACTTGCAAAAGTTCGTGCTGACCCAAGCCTTAGCAGTCGAGCTCCGCTTGTGTTTGACGCAGAGCATGAACGAAAACGGAAAGACCAACTGATTAAATTATTTGAACGAACACCAGAACAGGTATGGTTATTTAACTAATAGTGCTTGCAAAGAGAAGCTTTTGAAAATTTACTATAGAGGGTGCTGTTTAGGATTGAATTTTTATGTATCTTTACTAACAACACAATTAGTAAAATTAAAATACATATATCAGATACATACTTACATTTGATAATAATTCACTTAAAACTTAGTGACTTGCACCCAATTGTAACATATTATAATACCTACACTATCTTGTGAGGTGCCCGAATAGTGAGGCCAGACCCTCAGATTTTTTTTCTCTATTCGTCAGTAACCCTGTTAATCACAATATTCAAATCTCACTTTAAAATACTCATAACGCAAAATAATACTCTAAATTTCCTTGTATTGATGAATAAATTTTGTTTTGTACTAAAAAGGTTGAAGAGGAAGAACAGTTGATTCAAGAACTAAAAAAAATTGAATTGAGGAAGAAGGAGCGAGAAAAGAAAGCACAAGATTTACAGAAACTGATTACCGCTGCAGACAACAGCGCAGATGCTAGACGAGCAGAAAAAGCCTTCAAGAAGAAAAAGATGCATGCTGTACCCAGCAAGCGCTCCAAAGACCATGAGTCGGGCTCCTCAAAGGTCAGTACAGTATATTTATTTGTAATTATTTGAAGTTTCCAATATTATTTTTTTTGTAATGGAGCTTTGTCTGTGTTTCGATAACTTTTGAAATTTAATTGATTGATAGTATATTATTAATTTACTGACATCTTTAATGATGTAAACACTGAGTTAGTGCAAGAATTATACAGAGGCCCTCAGTACAATCATAAATACAGCATTGAATGAGAATTTTAAAATACATGTGAAAATGTAGAGCAAACCATAAATGGTCAGCTAAGTTAAGACAAAACTATAAAATACAGTAAATTTATGTCCTGGCTTTTTATATTTTTGAGTATATTTTATTTTATGTAAAGTTGTGGTGAACCTCATTTTGTTTATTAATAGCAAAAAAGTCATTCATACATTATTTAAATACTGAAATGCTGTATTTGTCTATTATTATACTAAAATATATCATTCTTCAAGTTCCTGTAGAATGTGTCCTGTGTAACTTTTTGCCTCTTTGGGTACAATTCTTTAGTGCATCGCATTGTTTTCTATTGTAGTTAGTGAAGGTATAAAAGAAGTAAAAGAAAAAAAGTGAAAAAATTACCACAATTCTGCATTTCTATGCTTTCATTTTAGAATCCTGAAATTGCTGGCATCAAATTTCCAGATTTCAAACAAGCCGGAGCCTCTTTACGCAGTCAGAGGGTATGAAGATTTCTGATAGAATTATTTAAATCTTTGAAGATGCACAAAACTATACTTTGCAAAAATATAAATGTTGATCAGGTATCTAGTTGATTATGTGGTCTAGTGGTTATGACACCAGGCTAGTTATCTGGTGGTCATGGGTTCAATTCCCACCTGAATCACTTTCAAATTGTTCACAAGTCTTTGGGAACATACTGAGCGTTCAGTACGATAACATGTCATTTATCATAAGAATTTAGATTTTATTTTTATGTAGTTAAAGTAATCTTAAAATGTTCTTAATCTTAATTTCAGATGAAGTTACCTTCTTCTGTGGGTCAAAAAAAAATGAAAGCTATTGAGATTTCGCTGGATGATTTAGGCGTACCTGTTTACCCAATGCCAACAACAGAGATTGCTATTCAGTATAATGAACTCAGGTAAGCACAAACTCAAACTGGTGGTGGAGTACCTGTAGGTTTAAGGGCTTTCTAAATATGCTATTATTACAGTACCTCTGCCAACGGAGGCTATGTACTCACCCTTGTCGGTCTTTCAAGATTACGCAAAAACTAATGAATGGATCGTCATAAAATTTAGTGGAATGGTACATAGTAATCAAAGAAAGAAACTATACAGTTTTCAGAAGTCAAGGTCACAGAAATTTGATTTTTTACCCTTGATCATTAAAGAAAATAATTGAATTGCCTCTCATATTAAGGCAGCATTCAAGAAAAAAAAATGTGCCCTATTGTTGGTATTCAGGCACAGGGCGAATGTACCGTATGGTGTGACTGCTCCAGTTTTGACTGGGAATGCCATAAAATATTAAAACCATTTTTTCCAATAGTTATATTATGTTAACCTTCTTAATTGAGTACTTCAATTGTTCCGCAGTATCTGTGTACATGTCAGTTAACGGTTTATCTGCTGGGTTGAGAGAAGCAGTGTGGTGCTGTGCAGTGGCGGCGCCAGCGGGGTGGCAGGGGGGTCTTAAGCTCCCCCACCGGACAAGTCAAGCTTGTAGGGTTATAAATACTGCCTAATGAAATAATCACAAATACATGTTTCATAGAGTTAGATAAGGCATATATGTATGTTAAAACCTGTGGCCAGTGGGGATGTCAATAATTGCAAAAATATTGGAATATCATCTTTTATATTTTCTTCTCATAACATCTATAATTTGCGTTAAGGAGCATGTTGAATAATATTGGTAAATTTTGTATCTCAATTGTAGGTCTGATATAGTGTTGCTATAAGCATGGTTATAACATTGGTAAATTTTATATCTCAATTGTAGGTCTGATATAGTGTTGCTATATGAGTTAAAACTTGCCAAGGCAAATATTGACTTTGAGCTGCAGACACTTAGACACAGGCTGGAAGCCTTGGCTCAGGGTAAGGATATAGGTCCCGAAATGACAGCACTGATGCAGAGTACAAGTCTGACCATTACTAGCCTAGCTGAACCAACTGCAGGGGACTCCCTCACCTCAGGCAAGAAAATATCAGAAATGATAGATGTCGATGTGGTCTCAACTACACCATTAACTCCAGTGAGTAAACTTTGTATTTTATATTCATGTTTGATTTGAAATGTTTACTTCTTCAGTAATAGGGCTTTCAATGGATTTTATATTTGCCCTTTCTTCTTTAACAGCATTTACCATTAATATTGTACAAATATTGACTGGGAATGGTGAAATCTATTGCCCCGAGGTGACGTGGAGACCGTAGCTTACTATCCTCCCAAGGGCCGAAGGCTCGAGGGAAGATAGTAAACTATGATCTTCACATCACCGAGGGGCTATAGATTTCACATTTTTTCCCGAATCCAGAGCAGTCAATATTTGTTTTATATACCTCATATATAGATTCTATGAGGCCTAAAAAAAGTAATGAAAAGAGTACCCACCAAGCTTATTTTTTAGGCCTAGGTGGTCAAAGGGCCAATCTTTCTCAGCGTCGTAGAGGTCACGTCCCTGGTATGTGTGTGTCATTAATTTCATAACGTTATATGTGGGCCTAGAAATCGCGATGGCAAACAAGTACTATTATTTAACGTGATAGTACTTTTTTTCACCTGGAATTTATGAACTATCATTCAAACTACATCATAGGACGTATGCGGTATATAATACATATTATTGTTAAACTTATTATTTACCTTTCATCATTATTGTTAAGTGTTAGTTAAGTTTTCTAAATGTTTTGTAAATGTATTTTTGTATGAATTTAACTTGCAATTGTTTTAATGAGCATTGACCTTGGTTTTTTTTACATGTATTCCTTCATTTCCTTTCTAGATAAATTGTTTATTGATGAACTATTATTGTTGTGATTATTTTTTATTCTTTACTTTCATTATTATTCATATTACTATTATTATTTCATATGTTTATTCATCAAAGTAGTGGAGAAAGTTTTTAATTGACATTAAACATTCTTTTAAGAAAGTAAACCTTTTAAGTACTGTAACATAAACTTTTACTATTGTCATTATAAAATATGTTTTAATTTTTGTTTCAGAGAAAAAGAAGAGCTGCTATAGAATTGAACCTGATAAAAAAGCTAAAGAGGTGAAGTAATAGCCAGTCAGGAGGATTTTATTCAACAGGAAAAATAGCCTTGGTTGTACTTGCAGTCCTTCAAATGTCTTTATGCAAATGAACTGAAAACACCTGCAATCCTCAAATGTCATTATGTACATGAGGGAAGACACTGTGTTATAGGACGGAGCCATCGCCAGGTGATGGCTGGGTTTTTAATCATGAATGCAATGTTGGTATATTGCAAGTTTGCCTGAGGGATCCAAAAATATTTTTGGTTATATATTTACATGGACAGAAACTGTTTCGCTGTTTATAACAGTCCATGTGAAAAGAGATACCTTTTAGTGTTTGGATACCTCATCAGGCTTGAAGTGGTGGTACACTTGTTGGCAATTACATAAGAGGTATTTGTAATGGGTGGGATAGGTTATAAATACAGTCATGGTTTAAACCTTAAAATGTTTTCAGGCTAAGTCAACTTTGCCTAACTCAAATAATTTCTCAGTCGATCTTATTTTACATGTCAAATTGTTGTGCTCTCCATTAATTAATTATCTGTAAGTCAGATTTTATCCAAGTCAAACAGTTTTTCAATGCCATTTTGGATTCGACTTTGGCAAACTTAACTGTATACAGCTTGATAACAAAATCAACATTCCAGTTGGTAGCAAATGACTTGGGTCATCTGTTTAATGTATTATAAGCGAGTTTTTTTGAATAAAATAACACACAGTGTATATTCCATATACCTTTTAATTCATTTACACAAGCATGTGTTCACATACAATTGAGGAATAGTCAACATAGGATTTATTTTCAACCAATGTAAACATAGGGCTTACATTGTTGATCTTGCTATAAAGTAGATATTAAATGTTTTCCTTTTCTTAAATAAATGCATTACATAGTTTTAATTGGCAACATTTATAAAATACCATTTACCTTTGACAATGCTTCCTTAAAAATGTATAACCCTGATACATAATAACCCTCAATTAAAGTAATCGTTTCAATATATACTTGATCGTAACCCTCACCATACTATGCTAAACCCCATAACCACCCCCTCCCCCTTACTAATCATTTTGACTTGCAGATTATATAATCACTTCATTAGATTCATCACATCACAGACAGTGACAATTTGGAAGAAACATGGAAGAACAATAGACCATTATTACCACATATATCTAACACACAGTATTAAAGACAAGAACACATATTACAACTTTTCTAAAACATGTAGACTATAAACATTACTTTGGAAACACTCACAATGTTTATAAACATCTTGCCATTTTTGGCTTTAAAACGAAAGGAATACATCAATTTGAAAGAGCATGATATGGAAGAAATACATTTGCACAATTATACTGTACATTTATCTTATCTTAAATTCTAAGTACATTTAAAACCTAAATCAGTCGTGTGATGAATGACATTGTTATTGAAATATACTGTATTTTGGTTTTCATCATTACGTCTCTCATCTTATCAATATCCCCAATTATTGCACAAATCTTAAGTCGGGAAGACATCTAGGCTACTGTATACGCTTTAGTTACTGAAAATAATGATTAAAAATTTTTAGTGTATTTTCTCTCGCTTCAAAAATATTTACCAAACTTATCCTTGCAACATTATTATTATTTTTATTATTATTTATTATTCATTTCAACAATATTTTGTAAGGGTATAATATAGGAGAATAAGCCATCATTGTGCTGAATTGCATATGGGCGTGGTCCATATGGGCGTGGTCCGTGACTACCTAACCGACGTAAAGAAGCGCTTATAGTTCACATCATCCCACAACAATGGGGCTGAAATGAACCATACCATCTGGTTTACTCCTTACTTTTCCAAAAGATTTGGAATGATCTAACCCGGCAAAAATCGTCAAGTATTCCGTCACTAGCTGTGATCGATCACTTTTTTGGCCAGAGGTCACAGTGAGACGGTGGAAATGTCAACCAGGGTCACCATAAAAACCTAGTGAAGGTTGAGTTGCCTTTGAAGCTATATGGAAGTCAACACTGCCTGGCTCAGACCGGGGCTGAGACACAAGTTTCTCTAGTCTGTATGAATATGCACTGTCCAGAAAAAAAACCTTAAAAATCCTGAAAATTAAATAAACATTTTGAATAGCTCATTGAATAGATCAAATTAGTAACTTCCAAAAAGAAAATATAAAGTTAATTTTTGCTTATTTAAAGACATTTTACTACAAAACCCTTAAATTTATTACTATCCGATTTAAGGATTATGCAAAAGAATAGAGCAAAGGTATATTTAACTGTCCATTAATTGATGGGGAAATTTTTTCTCATTCAAATTCTTAATTATAAGTTTAGTAAACTCACATAAATATACAAATATTTTTAAAATTAATGAGAGTGTAGTATTGAAAAATAGAGGATATGCAGATACAAAAACTAATTTAAATACAGTGACGGTGGGATAAAATTAATGGCAACTATACAGCATTAAGCTTAGCATTACAAATTTTCTTTAATATAAAGTGTAGTTTATTGACTCATAATTCTGAATGTGATTTGTAGCTTCAATAAATTTGTTGCGCATAAATTATCTTTCTTGCTTGAATATAGTCCTCAGCGGTCTGGGGTTTCGTCAGATAAAGTCGATCTTGTGGCTGCACATTCTTTGGTTGGATACGCTCTCTGAAACAGATAATATGCAATCAATAAATTCATTTTATTTCATATATTATTGTAGCTAAAATCAACAAGTGCACTGCCCTCACTAATTAATCAGTCAATGAAAATAATATTAAGAGAAGAATATGCCTTTTTCTAAAATACATAGCTTCTACACTTGAAGTAGAGATAATATTCAAATACTGAAAGTTAATCATGTTTTTGCAACACTCTCTATTAGACATGATGTCTCAAGACTCATTGAAACTACTCCAAATTGTATTATTTCTAAAGTTGGAACTCATAGTCTTTCTGGTTTTGCTAATTATATTAAAACATTATTCATTGGAGAATACAATGAATATTGTTATATTGCTAACTGTTATGTATGTAATGATAATTAGAGTGCATATTCTATTTTATTATTATTATTATTATTATTTTTTTTTTTTTTTTTTTAAATGATTTTCTGTTATACTGGACATGCATTTTATAATCTTTAATGACATTTAAAATAGTATGAGTAATCAATACATTTATTTATCTACAGTGGCTCTCGTGGTAGTGGCTTATTTTAGCCTTAATGAGAGTCTCAGACCATTAATTTGTCATAATTTAATTTATTTATGTCAAGAATATTTGTTATAATTTTTGGTCTATTAAAACATTCTGAGTTCTATGCCAGCTTACAGCATCATGTTATCGCGTTTCGTGCTTTTCCTGCCAACCTTTGAGTTGAACACGCTACAGTGGCCATTACGGTGCTGCGCATCATTCCATTTCTGCATGTCGTATCTACCTGCACCAACGGAATTCTATGTAAAAAAAGAAAATATTCACTTTAAATCTGTGTACAGCACAGGTGGGCAAAGTGTGGCCCGCGGGCCACATGCGGCACGGCAGCGATTTTTTGCAGCCCGAAAATGAATTAAAAACCCTATGTGTGTGGCCCGCCAAGCAACATTGGCTAGAAAACACCTTGTTTTTTACAGCCCAACACCAATCATATGTAAAAAGTAACATTATATCTTAGATATAAGTGGTGTAAAAGCAGTGTTGGGAGGTTTTTGGAAGGTCACTGGAAACATCAAACTTTGGGTGCGGCCCTCAGTGTTAAATCAAAAATTCACTTTGGCCCTCCGACCGATTTTTATGCCCACCCCTGATGTACAGTAATTCTAAGAAATTATTATATCATGTAGAGATTACATATATCATACCGTACTTATTATTTTTTATTTATTTTTAATAGAGCCACTCTGAACTCTGATACAAACATCAATATTGCAGTTGTATGTCTTACAATGAAGTAGCAGAGGAGGGGCATGTAGTGCTACTATTACACCCCCCTTTTGTTTCAAATGTCCCCTTCACATGCCTTTTGGCTATCCATAAAAATATGGTTTAGAATTGTCTTCAAATACAGAAATACAACAGAGCATTGAATTTGAATGAATGGCTCCTCCCCTCTTCAGACTCAACACTTCACCAAAATCCCTGATACACACTGACTTGGTTCCAATGATATTTTTTGCAAGTTAATTATATATGAGTAGTAGTAGTTAATGACCACTTACTGTTTGACCTGTAAAGAACTTTCTTGACCTCTTGTCAAATCGCTCAGCTGATGAAATGAATGGCGGTGAATCTTTGGCCTGTGGTTTGGAAAGCGTTCTTTCTGTGTAGTGCCCTGGTCCAGGGTCAGTCTGTATTTTTAAAAAAACCACCATAAATTAATAGAATTACAATAATATAATAAAAGGCAATAAAAATTACATGATTTGCTAGTGTATGCCGCTATCCTTTCAGCAATGTAATAGAAAACATAATGGTAGTTTTGCACTTGCCAAGGCTTGGTCTTAAGGTACATCCAGGACCCTACTGACCCTTGACCCAAGTTAGTACTTGTCAATGTTCTAACCTGAAGTGACACCCTTCTTTTTTGATGTATTTAATATTTTATTTACAATACAAATCTTCATCACTGTTTTTATATATATATTTATTTATATTATATATATTTTATTCAATGCAGCTTACAACATGAAATATATACAATAGCTAGCTTTTCAAGAATTTAAAGGTTAAGGAAATCAGCTTAGAGTGTTCATTATCCCCATGCAGTAACATCATTTATTAGAGCATACAGTACTACCATCACCATCAGAACCATTCATAATACTGTAATTATAAAACAGGAACATTTTTACAGAACTTACCTTTGACCTTGGCCACTGAGAGAGTGTTGAACAGTAAATTCTTTCTGATGGCTTTTCTGGGTAATGACTCACTTTGCCAAACCTCCCATGCTTTATGTGGTGCTCATCATCCCATTTGTCTGCAAACGATTTTAAATCATATTGGCCTGGCCCAAGATTTGCCATCCCCTGTAAATAATAAGATCAAATGATATAATCTGGGTGCTGCTTACCTAATGCTATGAATTAAAAACAAAAAAGCAAATATTTTTGCAATAAAAAAAAAATTACAACTGTGACCCTTGAACTCACCGGTACTGCAAGATGTCCTGTTTTGATTGGTTTATTGCGATCACCTGTGAAAAGGTCATAGGGTCCACGTACACTTGTTACTTTGTTTGTCAGTTGATCCGTAAAACTTTTGGTGTTGTAGGTTCCTGGTCCCAATTCACAACCCTGCAAAAATCACAATGTTTCAGTTATTCTTACTATAGTATTATTATAATATTAACTTTAATCTACTAATATTTCATCTTTTGCAGTGTTAATACTATCAGACATTTCTTACATGATAGTGCTGCTTGAAGGCCCACTCAGAAAATTTAGGAGGTAAAAATGCTGATAAAAATTTCTCAACGGGGCCCTTTCAGGCCCGGGGATCCGGCATTGGCCTGTGAAAGCAGGGGTGGATTCTGTAGGGGGGGGGGGGAACACTTCCCTGTTTTGCCCCTAAATTAAAAATTTCAATGCTTATCAATATTATGTCTATTCTGAAATGTTGTGGCCCCCCTCCCCATTTGAAAACTGCTAGATCTGCTCCTGGAGAGCTTACAGTTGTTACGCATTTGAATTAGCATTTCAGTATCTTTAAAACGCTATGGCCAAAATGGATCAAATATAAGTTTAGCAATTATATAATTAAAATTCCAACACCGACCCTTTGCTAACAATAATGAAGTCTTACCACGGAAGGTAGATGTCTTGGTGTTGATGACCCGGCATCCAATATTCCAATCGTACTTGTTGATTTCCTAGCTTTCTTTTCTAATGCTGAATGTGGAATACCGCCCTCACCATATGTCCCTGGACCAGGAACCTCACTCTGGAATGAAAAAAAACCAGAAAATTATTAATATTTCAATTAAATATTGAAAAGGATGAAAATGTTAATTAATAGATAAAACAAAATCAGTTTTCACTGGCTTATAAACTTTTACAAAAAAATCATTATTAGCTAATTTTAGGGTCTATGCAAAAAAATAGGACCTGTGTTCATACGTGTCTATTGGTGAGAAAATAAATATTTTATCTCTCCAAATTTCAATAATTTAGCTAAATAAAAAATCTAGCACTATCAACTTTTATGTGTCAAATTAGTGTAATGTGCGCATGTGGGCATCATGATGTCACACAACACCCAAATATGGGCATATCACATAAAAGTTGATAGCATGGACACAGTTTAAGAAATTCAATATTAAGTATCATGACACTAAGATTTTGAAACAAAAATATTTTGATACTAACCGTGGCTGTGTACCTGAATCGCTGTTCTTTGGTGCTGCAAATCCCTCGTACACTTCCTGGTTTCTCTGATATAACTTCTACAAAATCTTTAATGTTATAAGAACTTGGCCCAAGATTCCGTTCCTAGTTATAAAAAAAACATAGAAAATTTACAAATCAAACTCTTATTAGATAGACATTCTTAATGAGCTTATATCTCTAACTTTTCAAGTTATTATGTGATTATTAATTATGCCAATTTAATAGTCAGACCTTTAAAGCAAAACAATTTATTGATTGCTTAATTGCGTATCCTGTACTTTGACCTGCCTTCAATAATTATTGACCCATACATAATAAATGTCCTGGACTACTAATTAAACTAACATCAAATGTGATTAAACATATACAATTTTACATATCATACTGTTCATATGTTGAACCATCACAAATCTGTTGCGGTCTACTTGATGAATACCCTTCCCTTCCGTATGTGGTAGGTACATAGGAAGTACAGTATATTTAATTATCAATTTTTCAACATTATGTATTTCAAATTGGGAATTGAAATAAATTTAAAAATAAGAAATAGAGATTCAATTAATCATTAAAAAGAACCAGAGAAATGTAAGTATTAATAGAAAAAACAGAATAAATAATTACAATAATAATCAATAATTAAAACAATTATATCTTGTGGAGAGGAAAGGTTTAACAATAAATTCAAATTAAAATAATATTTATTATAATCATAATTACCAGAAAAGATATTACAGCATGCATTTAAAAGTATTTTAACACAAATACTCAAAAGTAGGAGATAAATTTAAAAAGATATTCATTGGACAGAAATTGTTTTATATATAATCTTTAATTGTAATTTTATTTTAATTTTTATATTAAGTTTTTTAATTAATTTTGAATTAATTCTTTATGTAAATTTTGAATTGAGAGGTTGTTATTTATTTTACTGTAATTTAATTAGTTTAATACGCTCTTTTGTTTTGTCTTACTATGTGTATTGAGGGTCCCTAATGATCAGCTTCGGCTGGATGGACCACCCTCATTAAAAATTGTTGAAATAAATAAATAAATAGAGCTTTGCTCTATGGTATAATTTAATTTTAAAAAATAATGTTTGAAGGCTTTTAATTTACTATTATTGTATAATGTTTATGATATTATGTTTTGTTTTTTATGTTCAGGTGGTTGAACTAGTACAGGTGTACTTTGACCTGATTTCCTCCACTTTGCTTTGTCTATTCTATGTTGTGAGCAGAATTTGAATAAAATAAATAAATAAACAAATACAAAACAGATATAATTATTTAAATCTACAAGAAAGAATATCTTCACTGCCTAAGACAAGTAAAGTGGTTAATTGTCAATTAAGATCATGAAGTGTTTACTCAACAAAGGAAGTGGTAACATTATACATTCTCCCTATGCATTATTCATGAATTATTTAATTGGATGTACATGTGTAACAATGTTGCCTGTACTTGAAGCTGAAAATCCGGCAGCCTTCTTTATTTGAATTAGAATTTTTATTTTTATTTATATTTTTATATATTTAATGTAATCTTTTATGTATTTTGTAAATATTCATTCTTAATTTGTAAATGTGTAATTTCATTATTTGTAATTAAGGCCTTTATATTTTTGTAAATGCAATAATTTTAGCCTTTGACTACTTTTTGTATTATTTTTATACCTGAATAAAATAAAATAAATTATAATACACCTAAATAAATCCTTGTCATGTGATTGGTTGATTTAATATCACATAACATTTTACATTATTACTCTTAATATTGCTTGTTGGTGCCTCTTACTTTCAAAGTTATCACCCTTGAAAATATTTGTGCTTTACCACCCTCCATTTCAAGATCTCCCACAAATACTTTATTATATCCCAATAAGTCCATCCTACGAAAAGTTAAAATATTTTAAAATTCTTAACACCTACAATTTTGCGTTTCTTTTCCCATTGATCTTTGTGAAGTAGATGTGGAAGAGCAGCCATTCTGGACACCTCATACGCCCTCGCCCAGCCAGGTCCTGATGCCCGATGATCCACCGCACTCTTGCTGAACCCTCCAACCTCGGTTCTATATACTCCGGGGCCAAGCTTTCGCCTCTGAAATACAAAAGTAATGAAATGATAGAAAGGGTTTTTTTTAGTTCGATAATTGATGATGCATTTAAATTTGGCAGAGAAGTTAAAGCCTAAGGTATGCAGGAGTAGGGTGAGAGTGGAGGATGATGGAGATTAATACTACATATTTGTGTTACATTAGTTTCATTTATGCATATTTTTCATTTTTTTATATTTTGCTGTAACGAGGAAGTGAGTCTCGCATTTTTATGGATGTGACAATAAAGTATATCTATGTCTAAGTCATTCTTTGATTTTTCATTGTTAATAATACAGTACCGCTTCTGATTATGTACAAACACTGTATGTGATTGGGGAGAAGATAATTCATATAAAGAAAAACTTACAAGTGGATCCATTGACTTAGAGCAGGAGTTGACTTGTGTGAATGTTCCAGGCATTTTACTCTGTGGGTGGATTCCAGCAACATCGAACCTGAAAAAGAAAAAAAATTGAATATTCAACAATGAGAGACAACCCTCTTCCATCTGTTTTTTAATGTTTGTGTACAGAAATCTCAATAATGTGGCTAAGACTTGAATTACAAAGGACCCAATGACTTTCGACTTTTTTTTTACATGCCCTGTGGCTAAAAAACATGGGGACCAGTGATGGAATTCAACCAAAGACATCATTACCAACCTGAGAGATTTGAGATGTGTAACTACACCAGTTGTCTGTGTGGGGGGGAGTCAGGGCCACCGCCGGGGTCCAGGGGCGGAACCCCGGTGACGGTCGGGTTTGAGCCAAACAATCAACAGTTGGTTGTGACAATGAACGCGCAAGGCCACACGCCTCCTAAATTCTACTGAGTGCGTGGTTGGCAGAGTTATTTTGGCCAAAAACTTTTCTCGGTGAATTGATTCTAGAATGATATAACAAAAGATCTCGAATGATTTACTGCATGACCGTTTTTATATTTTTAATAAACAAATTTCTACAGTATTTTTAAAAATATTTTCCCCTGAACTTGTGATAATTTGTTATCACCCATAGACTTGTGCTAATGCGTAACAAATTTATGATCATGCATGTGTTTCTACAAAATGTGTATATCATCCAAAATCAATTAAATGCCGGAACCATCCCGCACGTTGTCAGACGGTTGGTAACTATGAAAGGACCCAGGTCTTCCATGGTATAGCACACGCACAGTGGCTACTATACCATAGCAGCTTCTATTAAGGGATCGGGAATTTGCCTTCCAGATGTACCAGGGCAAATAAGGAGTTCTATGTACACGGTTTAGGTGATTGAGTAATTCTGCTGAATGACTCTGTAACCAAGAACATGCTACTCTATTCATTCAATGTGGAGGTAAGGCTATATATTTCAATTAATTCATATACT